TACACTTCAGCCGCTGAAAACACTAGCTACAGCCCAGTGCTGCTTCGTCCAGCAATACTGAACCCAAGGCTCTCTGCAGTTGGAACTTGACAAGTGTGTTTCAGCGGCCACGACGACTGCTAGTGAGGAGTGATGATGAGAGTGAGGCCGAGTGTGGTGGCCACTCTCCTGGTGGTGACTTTCCTGCTGGAGTTGCCTGCAACTTCTACTGCTGCTCAGGGTGAGTTTAAAAACTTATTTACTACTGTATCCTGAACATTGTTAATATGTTACTGATGGTCTACTTAATTGTACCTGAATTCAAGTATATTTAGCTCATAAATAAATAAATAAACCCTCCACTCAAACTTCTCCTCACGAAACTTAACAGGACACACGACCATAACACAAGACACAGATCTCTTTTTGATGTACCCCGTGTCCATATCACACTGTGTAAAAGCTCTATGCACATAAAGGGCCCCAAAATCTGGAATTCATTACCAGATACTAAAGGAACCAGGCCTGAAAAATCAATTTAAGAGTCTTCTAAAAAAAACCGTTACTCGCCCAGGACTAAATAATCAACACTTCAGTATTTAACATTACCAATAATTCTCCCAATTACTTAAATCTTTAAAGTTCAAGACAACATATAGCAAATTGATCATCTTTTATTATACATTGTAATGTGACAAATTTGTACAACTATAATGCTTCAGTATCCATATGTTCAAATTTCATTGTTTCAAATACTCAATTGTACTTCATATTGTAAATTGTTTACTGTAATTTTTAACACTGATCCTTTCATTGGTTGTTAATTTTAAGTTAACTTTAAGGCTGCCCATAATGCTCTGCATACAAGGGGCTTTTGGCATGTTCACCCAACTACTATAATTCATTATACAACTATGCATCATGTCCAAATAAAATAAATAAAATAAAACATGCGTAACACTTCGTGTCTTCATTTAAAAGGCGTTTCGCCCACCAGAGGCTTTATCGATCAAAAGATGAAGACCTTTGGTAGCCGAAACGTCTCTTAAATATACTTAAGTGTTGCACGTGTCTTTTTTTATCATCTTGTCGGTATTCAACCCATCCTCCTAATGACTGTCAGTGTTTTCACGCTTTCACAGCCCATTTCTAAGTTAGATGGGTTAGGTTAAGTTGGGTTAGGTTAGGTTGGGTTGGGTTAGGTTAGGTTGGGGTTAGTTTAGGTTACAACTGAGAAAAATATAATAAGATATAAAAAGTAATTAGAAAAGCCTGGAGATCGAACAGAAAACGGATAATCGCTGCACGCGGCTCATATATGTCATTATTTCAACTGTTAAAGACCACTATCAACTGGCACTCATTTGACTGCTTTTACAACAATGACATGTCTGTAGTTAAGAGGACGGGCTGCAGTATTATATGCCCTTGATGCATTCCAGTTGAATCTAACTCATGGTGACATAATAGTCGTGAAGGGATGGGATGGATATGGAATAGGTCAGACACTGGGATGGCATATAACAGTTATATCAATATTGTCATACCATAGCTTACCCGCCAGGGTTATGTTGGCATGAAATTATTGTAAATTACACTGGCCTATACAATTTTTGGCTATCTTTCATAATCTGGGTCAACACTGAGTTTAGCTGCTCGGTGGAGTTCAGTGATACCTGATAGATTAATGTGTACAATATTAAGTACGTTTTGCAGTAAACATAGCTTTATTTGATGCTAATTGTTATAAAAGTTTTTGGGGAGTTATTATGTATCTGTTGGGGAAATGAAATATGGCAGCTTTTCCTCTTAGACTACAAATTTTGGGGGTAATTTTTTGAAGGATTAAGTTGAGTTACATGAACTTGACCTTATATAAAACCTCCTAAACACACTTTTGGACAATTTACATGAAGTGAAACTATATTGTGAAGCTTACTTAATATTGTATATTTTAAATTATCAATCATCACTGAATTCCAGTAAGGAGCTAAACTCAATATTGGCCGTTTGTTGTGTAAATATCGAAGTGGTTTTAACCCCTCAAGGGGAGGGGCCGTCGTGCCAGTAGATGGACTCTTGATCCGAGGAATTAGACTCATTCCCTTCCCCTTCCTTGGATCAAATCTGATTGCCTCTCATTACTGATGCTGTGTGTTGCTCCCCCATGAATGTAATAATACACAAATGTTCTAGAAAACGTGTCCGAAGCCTCTGCACTGTGAAACCTACATACCGTTTGTCCAAGTTTCCCCACTGTTTGAAGGCACCCTCACTGTGTTTGATGCCTCCTCACTATGTACCTGAAGCCACCCCACTATTTGTCCGAAGCCTCCCTATGAAACTTCCCTACTACGAAGCCTCCCCACTAAGTCTGAAGGCTCTCCACTGAAGACTCCCCTCTGTCTGAAGTCTCTTCACTATGTCCGAAGCTTTTCCACTATGCCTGAAGCCTCCTTACTGTCTGAAGCCTCCCCGCTATGAAGACCACACTATATCTGAAGTTTCCCCACTATGAAGCCTTCCACTGTCTGAAGCCTTCCCACTATATCTGAAACCTCCCCACTATGTCTGAAACCTCCCCACTATGAAGACCCCACTATATCTGAAGCTTCCCCACTATGAAATCTTCCCACCATATCTGAAGACCCCACTATATCTGAAGATCCTCCACTATGTCTGAAGACTCCGCACTATATCTGAAGCTTCCCCCACTGTGAAACCTTCCCACTATGTCTGAAGATTCCCCACTGTCTAAAGCCTCCTCTCTATGTCTGAAACCTCCCCACTAAGTCTGAAGATCCTCACTATGTCTGAAGCCTCCCCGCTATGAAGCTTCCATACTGTAAATCCTACCCCTATGTCTGAAGCCTCTCCACCGAAAACTCCCCACTATCTGAAGCCTCTCCACTATGAAGTTTCCCTACTATGCCTGAAGCTTCCCCACTGTGAAGCCTCTTCACTGTCTGAAGCCTCCCCACTGTCCCAGGCCTCCCCACTATATCTGAAACTTCCCTACTATGTCTAAAGCCTCTCCACTGTCTGAAACCTACCCACTGTGTTTCAAGATTCTCCACTGTCTAAAGCCTCCTCACCATGTCCGAAGCTTCCCCACTATGTCTAAACACTCCCCACTATGTCTAAACACTCCCCACTATGCAGCCTCCCCGCTTTGCCTGAAGCCTCATATGTCTGAAGCCTCTCTATGTCTATAGCTTCCCGAGAGTCTGAAGCCTCCCCACTGTCTGAAGCCTCCTCACTATCTGAAGTCTCCCCATATGTCTGAAGCCTCCTTACTATGAAGCTTTCCTACTATGAAGCCTCCCCACTGAAGCCTCCCCACCATGAAGTCTTCCCACTGTGAAGCCTCACTATGAAGCCTCCCCACTATGTCTGAAGCCTCATCACTTTGATGCCTCCCCCACTATGAAGCCTCCCTATTGTCTGACGCCTCCCCACTGTATGAAGCCTCTCCACTGTTTGAAGCCTTCTCACTATGACGCCTCCCTGCTGTGTCCGAAGCCTCCTTTCTCCACAGTGTGTCCGAAACCTCATTATGTTTCCGAAGCCTTCCCGCTATGTCCGAAACCATCCCACTTTTCGAAGCCTCACCACAATGTGTCTAAAGTCTCCTTATGTGTCTGAAGCCTCCCCGAAGCCTCCACACTATCAGTCCGAAAATTCCGGTGTCCGGCTTCTCCACTTTCTGAAGCCTATACACTATGTCCGAAGCCTCCACATCACGTGTCTGAAGCTTCTACACTATATGACCGAAGCCTCTACAGTCTACCTGGAGTCTACCTGGAGAGAGTTTCGGGGGTCAACGCCCCCGCGGCCCGGTCTGTGACCAGGCCTCCTGGTGGATCAGCGCCTGATCAACCAGGCTGTTGCTGCTGGCTGCACGCAAACCAACGTACGAGCCACAGCCCGGCTGATCAGGAACTGACTTTAGGTGCTTGTCCAGTGCCAGCTTGAAGACTGCCAGGGGTCTGTTGGTAATCCCCCTTATGTGTGCTGGGAGGCAGTTGAACAGTCTCGGGCCCCTGACACTTATTGTATGGTCTCTTAACGTGCTAGTGACACCCCTGCTTTTCATTGGGGGGATGGTGCATCGTCTGCCAAGTCTTTTGCTTTTCGTAGTGAGTGATTTTCGTGTGCAAGTTCGGTACTAGTCCCTCTAGGATTTTCCAGGTGTATATAATCATGTATCTCTCCCTCCTGCGTTCCAGGGAATACAGGTTTAGAAACCTCAAGCGCTCCCCGTAATTGAGGTGTTTTATCTCGTTATGCGCGCCGTGAAAGATCTCTGTACATTTTCTAGGTCGGCAATTTCACCTGCCTTGAAAGGTGCTGTTAGAGTGCAGCAATATTCCAGCCTAGATAGAACAAGTGACCTGAAGAGTGTCATCATGGGCTTGGCCTCCCTAGTTTTGAAGGTTCTCATTATCCATCCTGTCATTTTTCTAGCAGATGCGATTGATACAATGTTATGGTCCTTGAAGGTGAGATCCTCCGACATAATCACTCCCAGGTCTTTGACGTTGGTGTTTCGCTCTATTTTGTGGCCAGAATTTGTTTTGTACTCTGATGAAGATTTAATTTCCTACAGTGTCCGAAACATCTCCATCGTGTGTCCGAAACCCTTACACTATGTATCCAAAGCCTTCCCTAACATGTGTCGGAAGTCTTTTCATGTGTCCAAAGCCTCAACACTGTTCGAAGCCTTCTAACAACGTGTCCGAAACCTCCACTATGTTTTTGGAGCCTTTCCACTTGTCCAAAACCTCCAAAATATGCCCGAAGCCACTCTTATGTGTCCGGAGCCTCCCCATGTGTCTGAAGCCTTTTTAGCATGTGTTCGAAGTCTTCCTACGTGTCAGAAACCTCCCCACACCATGTGTTCGAAGTCTCCCCACCATGTGTCTGAAGCCTTCCCACTATGCCCTGCAAAAGCCCCCTCCCACCTGTGCCCGAAATCCTCCCCCCCAAGTTTTTCCAAACCATCATTAGGGTTTTCCCTTTTTAAAATTACGTGACGACAAAGCACTCACTAGTAAACCGCTGTATCCTCGGTTATATTACATTTCCCTCACACAAGATGTGAAAGCCTTTTTACCACCTGGTTCTTGGCCAAGTATAGGGGGCTTAAGCTCACAACCGAAGGGGCCAAGGTTTTAATTCCCGCAAATTTGGGGAAAGCCCGGGCAAGCTTCATTCCCCCCGTTATTTTTCCCAAATTTA